CTGAACCCTTAACCCTCAACCCTAAGCTCTGAATCCTAAGCCCTGAACCCTATAAACCCTATATACCCTAAACCCTATAAACCCTAAACCCTGAAAAGATTATCCTGGGGCAGCTGCTTCGGAGCCGTGACCATGAAAGCCAGAAGAGGTTCACAAAGGAAAGCCAGGAAGAGAGCAAAAGTCAGCGGGACCTTATCTCATGATAAAATAGAAATAGAAATAAGTCATAATAGTAACAATAACAATATGAATTTTAGGCATAATACTACAAGTAATCATAACAATAATGGTCCTCAACTCTTGATATGGCAGCAGTATCAAGTGCATAGGTACCATGATAGGCGTATATTTTGCAGATTATACAGGGATCATTATATCCACTCCCCCACTTTCCCCTAAGCACCTGAGTAAGATCAGAGCTATAGACTCAACTCCTAGAAGTAGTATCCCTCTTAAGAACCCTACGGTGGCATAATCACTATAAGCCACTTCAAGGAGTTTATACTATGGCTCATATGGCAAGGATATCAAGGTGACCACGACAGGAGGTTACAGTTTAAGTGGTCATGGCTTCAAAAATGGCAACAAGTACACTCTGCCCGTACAATCCTGGCAAACGCCGAGACAAGTGCGAGAACTCTGCGCATCCAGAAAAGAAAATACACCTCATCAAAGCGGTGCACAAGCGTCTTGCTAAACATGCCATTGTCTGGGTTGCTGTTAAGGAACTTAAATTCAGTTACTATATTGGGGAAACCTTATTTTTCTATATATATATATATACCAATTATGGTAACTTAATTTAAGTTCCTTAACAGCAACCCAGTTGTTCAACCAAGCCATTCTCTTGCATGGCAACATAAATCGGGGCCGGGCTCCAACAAAAAAGGTGATCAACACCTAAGCTTGCAGGTTGAAAAAGACTTCACGCTCTCACACAAAAGTTCTGGAAACATAATGGAAAAGAAAATGGAAACTACTACAATGGGTTATATATTGGGTATATATTGGGGTCATATTGGGATAATGGAAAAGAAAATGGAAACTATAGGGATTATATAACCCAATGTGAGCAACTGCTAAGGCAAGGAGCCACGCCGATGCCCAAAACGTCTCGGAAACGAGAGCGTGTCCTGAGACTGAGTAAGTCCCTTTTCGATCTGTACCGGGGTCAGTCGCAGACTTATTGCACCCTGATGGACCTCTAGATGTTGAGCGTACATAGTGGGGGGGGAGGTCCGAAATTATCTGGGCACTTATACCGCCATTACGGTACTTCTATGGTAGTTTCCCTACGTTGGGGGGATCCCAATATAGGCCGAACAAAAATGGAGAGCCCCCAAAAAAGTATCGCGTTTTTTGGGATGGAAAACCATATGCACTAGCACTACGGAAAAGAAAAAAGGAGCTGTGGCTCCCACGTTCTGGCACTCGGCTCTCCATTGAGCAGTCCGACTGCACCTGAATGCTGCAGGATAGCAATGGACTAACCCAAGGTTCAGGTTTAGGAAATGGAGAAGCCCTAAACCCTATAACCCATACGGGCTTTATAGGGCTTTAAGGGGGTTTCGGGTGCTTTAGGTTCAGACCCGAAGCTTGCTATATAGAGTCCCGGTTGAGCCTAACCTGCGTTGTTGCCCCTGAAGATCACTGGGACGTGAGACCCCGATTACACTATCCTTAAGGAGATAGACAATGGGGTATATGAGGATCTTGCTAGAATATACCCAAAGCCATATTCACTCTCTCTGTCCCTCCTAAGTTTTCTCAATGGAATGAAACATGTCTTCTGACGTTTGCAACTTGTCGACCC